ACACTTCGAACTTGGGTTTTCAGTTAACGCAATTGTCTCGTTGGGAAGGAAGGCGATGGAACAGCAAGGTGGAAAGGTCAGCTGAAACTGTATTGTTGAACAATGTTTGCACTCGCAAGCGGCGGAAAGTGAACCGGCTGCACAGCTGCTGGGGACGAGTGTTTATGGGGTGGAAAACGTGAAGAACCATGAATCAAAAGCGGAAGATTGGAGTGACAGCTTGTGAAAGAACGAGCAGGTACGTCGGCCAGCGTCCTGGCCGATATCCTAGGAGCATGTGAGGAGCTTCGTTGGATGGAGCCTCACATGTCCTCTCCATCCCCCTGCCTATAAAAGGTGGTTGTCCAAGGTAGTTGAAAAGCATGGAAAGAGTGGTGGTGGAAGACCCTTTGTCCAGGGGTGGACACACACACAGGCATGTCTATATCCATATCTCTGTATGTATGTATGTAATGTAATGTAATGTAATGTAATGTAATGCAATGCAATGCAATGCCATGCCATGCCATGCAATGCAATGCAATGCAATGCAATGTAATGTAATGTAAGTATGTATGTATGTATGTATATATTTATGTAGTATTTCTATCTATCTATCTATCTACCTACCTACCTAGCTAGCTAGCTAGCTATCTACCTACCTACCTAGCTGTTTGTCTGTCTGTCTGTCTGTCTGTCTGTCTGTCTGTGTCTACACATGTATATAGCAAGTAGCCCGCCAGAGAGAGAGAGAGAGAGAGTAGCAACCAGCACTGGACTACTATCATAGCTACTTTCACCTGAACATGTCGCAGGATCCTTCGTACCTTTTCTTGGTTTGGTTTTGTGCTGCGGGACTGGCATCAAAGAAAGGAGGCTTTGTGAACGCGTGCAAGGTATAAGGGCTCCCAAGTGAGCCTTCTTGATTCTTCACTCAATTCCCGTTATCTTAGTAGGGCCCAAGTCGGCTTACAATACAAAGGCATACCGCATACCATCACTCCCATCCTTCAAAAAGTACGGTTCATAATGTACCTTTGATTTTGTGATCAGTCGTCCAAGCCTGGGCGGGTGACTTACGTAAAATATTATGTGTTCTGGGGTGTAGTGTAGATATGATGGGCTTGAAGAAGTTTCATACCATTTGGACGTTGTGGGCTTGGTTCGAAGTGGACAGGTGATCTCCCGCTCATATTCCGTTGCTTCCTGGCTCCCTCCTATTGGCAGCTCCTGACCGAGGCTTTACAGTTACAAGTGTCACTTGTCCAAAGTGGTTGCTTTGGGCCATCAAGATTTCGCCCGTAGCCTATGCCATGCAAGCCATTACAGTCACTTGGCAAGTGGTGCAGCTGGCTTGCAAGCGAATCAGCATGTTTGGAAGGTACTTGCGCATGATATCATCATACCTGCTGACATGTCGATACAGGAACCTAGGGCACAGGGAGGCCTTGCCATTCACATATCTGTAAAACGGGTCGGCTTGAGAATGGGGGCTTTGTTTTACTCCCGGGAAAGCACTGGTGGAGGTTGCGGCCTCGGAAATTTGTGTGCCAGATGGTCCCAGCTGTGGTCAGGAGAGCGCAGTTGGTTGCTGTGCGTACAACTGTTGTCAGTTGTTGTTTGAATATCGTACTGGAGTACAGTATTCCGAAACTTACTTTTTGCACCCAGTCTTCCAGAAGAACCTTGTGCCATGGCACTTACACGACCATTTTGGCAGGATGGCTTGTTTCCTGCACCTTGGTAGCATTCGGTAGTTTTGCTGTGCCATGCAGATGCAACAGGACAGCTCCCAGCACTCTGCCGCCTTACAACTCCAAGCAAAAAACAACTCAGGCCATAGTTGCGCACTTCGGCTACAATTTGAGGCCCAGGGAAGTCCAGACCAGGGAAGCTTTGATGGCCAGCTGCTTAGCCTCATGTTTCAGACACCAGGCCAAGTTGCAGTGATGGAGAGAGCTTGCCGCGTCCAGAGCACTTTTATGAGGTCATGTGCATTATTTCGCTTCTTTTCCGGGCTATTCATGTAGTGTCACTGAAGTTTCTGAACAACATCAGACGATGAGGGCCCTGCACCATACCAGTGCTTGTAACGAAGCCCTCTTGGAACAATCTACATTCGGCCAGCTGCTGAACTGTGTTTCCAACAGTTGCTCAGAAAAAGGCTTGCCGTAAGCCGTAAGCCTTAAGCAACAAAAGACTTCAAGGGCAGCTGGCTGTGCATAGAACCAGCACAAGGATGCAGGCCATGCATGTTTTTCTCTACAGTTTCCCTCCTGGCGCCACTATCCCTGCAGAATGGCAGGGGTTTTGGGGGCAGGGATGGGGACCAATGCATTGCGGGAGTAGCTGAATTCACTGCTCTCTCACTTATTTTGTTTTGACACCTGACACAGGTCGGTGATTCACCTCAGTCGAATTCGAAAGTCGAGCCGAGCCACGACATCAAAAAGCTGCTTTGCAGTGGTTCCGCCTAGATGAGTTCATGATGATGGCAAAAGACACGACACGAGGTGTGGCACGAGCACAATTGCAAGAAGTCCGAACATTTTTGCTTGTTACATGTTGACCTCTCACACGGCTTTGCTTTGACCCCATGGGCCCCACATCTATGTTTCAGCTTTGAGCAGCTGAGTGACATAGGACTCACAGACTTGCTTGTGATTCCGGCTGCTGTGCGTGGCTTTTGGCAGCAGATTTTCTGCCCACATTTCACTCACTGGATGCCCTGTCCTTCAACGTATCCATATTGCGATGAGATCGATTTTTCACCGTTAGAGTGTGCTGTTCTGGCTAAGCTTCAACCTGTTGGAGCGGATCCGTGATTAAAAGCATACATTTACCAATCTCCCGCAACCACGAATCATCACAAGCAGCCACCATCGTGGCGCCAATCCCCGGGAAGACCTGACTACAGATCTAATTCTAAACATCACCACTAAATTTAGGCCAATTTGTAGGCTCCGAGTTCTCCACAAGTCCTGAAGCCATGGCCACCATGCATGGTCATGCATCTAATTAGGAGATGACCAATGACCAATGTATGACCCAGTGTGATGCGCCAGTGTTATTCTGCCACTGATTCGACCCTTTTCCCACTTCAGCGCCATTCCGTTTCTGTGCAGTTTCAAGCATTAGCCGCACATTCAAAAATACGTTGACTTTTCTGCGCTATGGGACTTCGCCTCCCATGCGACTCTTCAAAGTTGAAGCCTCAGGCAGTGAAGCCGACGCCCTGCAGGCCCTGCACCCTGCGACCTTTTTCCAAGTTGGCCAAGGCCCTTCGTCCAGCGCAGGCAAAGAGAGGGACAGGTTGCAAATGCTATTGAGGCAATTAGAAGCACTGACAGAAAGCTTTGGCAGAAAACAGGGGCGCGCTTCTAATCGCGTTGCACGCAACAGTCGTCTCTCCAGACAAGGTGACCGTGGCCGAAGGTAGTGACTAGCCACATGGTTTTGGGTTCCATCCTTTGCACATGGAGAACGGTGCGGGCGGAGGGCTGCAGCCTCAACCACCAAATGCCAATTACTGTATAGTCGTCCCAAATTAAGACTTTGAAAGTTCTCTTTGCGAGGCATCTTCCGAAGATGTCTCTCAACGTTTGCAGCGCTTGGAGGCTACCGAAGCCGAGGCGAGCCAGGCACTGTTTTCCCTCGACGCCTGACAAGCTGTTTGCTTCAAGTGGCCGAAGCTGCAGTCCTTTAGTCGGCAGCTTTCTTGCAGTCCTTTTCAACCCTGCTTTGTCAAAGGCCGCCTCTGACCTCAAAGGTGCAGCTGATGAAGCCCAAGAGGCTCGCCAAGATGACGCCTTGTAAAATTTGGGAGGACACTCCTCAGAAAAGTTGTTTCTTGTGCGATGATTTCAGCCTGCCAGCTTCAAATCAGTGCAGGTTCCGATGCTTTTTCGATCTTTTTCGTCTTCTTTTAGTTGTTTCCTTCTCAAGACTCAAGGCCCAGTCCCAGTGCAAACAACTGCGTTCGGCTCTGGCTAGAGCAGAGGAGCAGGGGAGGATGGACTGACAAAGGATATACACTGCAAATGTATCACACTATCAGATCATTGTACGACTAATTATATAATCAGGGCAGAGGTCCCTAGGTAGAGGTAGTGCCAAGGACATGCCACATAGCTGGCAGGAAGAGTGGGCAACTGCCAGGCGGAGGAAGCTCGACAATGAAGCAAAACAGGTTGGACAGCGGAGAGATTTGGGGGTCAATGTCTCAACATTTTCACATGTCCATTAATTAGAACTGCAAGAGTCGCATTCCTCACGTTCGATCGAGCTTTGTTCGTGAACTTGAAGCTGCTTTTGATCAAGTGGCACCCACGCCTGAAAAAGTGTTCGTGTGCTGCTATCAGTGCGCTTAGCGGAGGTGCACTGTTTGCATGGGTTGCTGAGAAGAGAAACGAAACCTGGTCACAACAGGTTATGAGCCCAAAGCTCGCCTGTGCATGATGCCGAGAAGAAGGAGGGCCACTCAAGAGGAATTGGCCCAAGGGGAAAGGGAAATGCTCCAAGCCCAAAAAAGGTTTGAAGCGGAAACCAAAGCCAACGGCGAGTTGCCGATCGAAGATGGTTCAGCTGAACAGCATGAGAGAAAGGGGAAAAAGGGTGACAAAAAGGTGAACACTCCATCCCTCCATGGTAAGGGAACCCCATCGACTGCTGCAGCTCCTACTGAGGAAAGCACCGCTCAGGTCACCAATTCAGGCAGGACTCCTGAAGTGAAAGGTCCACCGGCGATCCTCGGTGCCTCGGTTTTTGAAGAAAAAGAAAAAGATGAAGAGCTCGCCAAGCAGAAGCTCCAGGACGAAGAGAGAGAGAAGGGCATGGGAGAAAGGAGAAAAGGGTCGGTCCGAGAAGATCCATCCATGTCTCCGGCAATACACGACATTGCAACTCCTCCGGATGCCATTCGACCTTTTTTCCCGAGACCAAATACAAGGTCTACATGACATGTACAGCAGTGCACCGCTCCTGTACCCTGAGTTCCAGACGCCCCAAACTTCTGTGCCGCGGCCTCTGTTCCTTCGAGATGAAGAAGGCTCGAAGGAAGTGGAAGAAAGGAAAGAAAAAGAGTTTGAGAAGGTTTGAAGAATGGAGAAAGTTGAAGGAAGAAAAAGATTATGAGAGGTTGGAAAGGGAAGAAATGTCCCGCCAGATCCAAGCCCTCGCCCAGGAGAATCGAAGACTTCGGGATCAAGCTTCGGGCTTGTTTCCGATGCTCAGGACCCGAGATGAAGAAAGTGAAAAGCGAAGGAAGCTTATGACCCAGCTTCAAGAAGAAAACCCAGTGCTCAGGTGCAATCTTCATCGCCTGATTGCTGAGCGAAAAGAAGAAGATCTTGTTTTTGCCACACCCAACGGAAGCGATGACCTCCAGAATCGCCCGGAAGGTGTCAAAGAAGTTGAAGATGAACATGCAGTTGATCCTCCGCCAGCTGAGGCCGACGGTGCTCGGGTTGGAAAGGGAAGGGGGTCGAAGAAGAAACAAGAAGAAACCACATCCGAGCGACCGCAAGACCCGACCTTGGCTGTGATTCTCAAGTTGATGGAAGGCATGCAGGTCATGCAGAAGCAAATGTTGAAGGGGTCAAAAGATGGAGGTGGTTCGTTCTTCAGTGGACGTGCCCAAACTGGCTGAATGGAACCAGGAATCAGCTCCCATTGACTATGCTGACTGGTTGCTTTTGCTCCATCCCATCATGGCCAACCTCAGTGAAAGCAGTGAAGCTTGGTGGGAAGAGACTTTGACCAGCGCCAGAGACTGGTATAACCAGCATATGGCCAAGACTCTACATGAACGTTTGAGTCACCACTCAAAGGCATCCTCATGTATGTCACAGAAGAAATGGTCCCGCTTGGAGAAGCGTGCATCGGCACTGCTTTTGAGTGCCATCCCCACAAGCTTGAGAGAAGAAGTTGTGGCTGCAAAGAACATCACGACCTTGGGCATCTTGGTGAAGGGCATGGTGCAGTACCAGCCAGGTGGCTTGGCTGAGCGGCAAGCAATCTTGTCCGCGCTTGAAATGCCGCAAGAAGCTACTTCGGTGGGCTCCGCAATCACCATCCTTCGCAGGCGGCTTCGCTGGAAAAGGCCGGCTGAAGAGATGAAAGTGTCGGCCCCAGATCCGACCATCCTTGCTCGTGGACTACATCGACTGGTGCGCAAGTTGACTGGAAGCTATCCAGAATTGCAGTTCAAGCTACAGCTTGCCAGGAGCGCCCTCTCTGTCGACTCAGTCCCAACCTATGACAGCATCGAAAAGTATGCAGAGCATTTGACGGCCGAGCTTGAACAAGTCAATCACCAAAGCAAGAAGAAAGATAATCTCCCGCCGGAGCCCCTCAAATTGAAGCGCTTTGAGGAACACAACCCCGCAAAAGAGAAAAAGGATTGGACAGAAAAGAATGAAGGTGAAGAGAAAGAAAAAGAAAAAGATAAGTTGAAGTGCAGGTTCTACCTCACCGACCAGGGCTGTCGTCGAGGCAAGAGTTGCGGGTTTTCCCATGATTTGAAAGATGACAAACGAAGGTGCTGGAGTTGTGGAGCGATTGACCACATGGCGCCCAACTGCACAAGATCCAAAGAAGGAAAAGATGCAGCACCGAGACCTCGTGCTGCGAAGGCAGAAAAAGAAAAGAATGAAGGAAGAAAGTCGGAAGCAGGAAGTGCTGAAGCCGACACATCCATGAAAGATCTTCTGAAAGAAGCCAATGAAATGCTGAAGAGCATGCAGTCGTCTCCTACCTCTTCACAGACCACGTCTCCTACCTCATCGTCTTCGCAGGAAGAAGAAAGAAAAGAAGTGATGGAGCGATTGCAGCAACAGCTGAACATGCTCAAACAGAAGACCTTTCGCCTTCGCCGACTCCAGAAAGGCGAGAAAGAAGGACTCCTTGACAGCGGTGCCACCCATCCTCTGAGGTCACTGCGTCAGGGAGAGAAAGTTGAGACCTACAAGAAGGTTCAAGTCGCCCTAGCTGACGGTCAATCTACCACCTTGGCCATCAGCCCAGGGGGAGCGATGATTTCAGAAGACAAGGATATTGAACCCATCGTGCCTATGGGACTCCTCATTGACATGCTTGGATGCACGATCTCCTGGTCCAAGGACAAGCTCTGTGTCCACCATCCTAGCAGAGGTGAGCTGCCTGTGGTTGAAAGTGAAGGTTGCCCTCAGATCTCAAGACGCTTGGCGCTCCAACTCATTGAGAAATTGGAGCTTGTCGTCCAGTGAGGCGATGGGGAGGAGAAGAGTTCGGCATTGTTGATGCCACCTCGGAAGAAAAGAAGAAACTATGGGAGGATGATCTTCTTCTTTGGCGCATGATCTTCTTACAAATGGTGAGTACTTACCTCAAAAGGGCTCGCCAACAAGAAGAAGAAGGAGCTTTCGCCTTAGAACAACCAGCAACGCCAAAGGCCTACGTGACGGAAACGGTCTCCTTTTGGGACACCGAAGAATGGAAGCAGCTGAAGACTGAATTTCATTGGAATGAAGTGAGCTTTCAACAGAAACCTTTGGGTTGCTCTACAGCCAAGCCAACGACTTTCGCTGGAAATTTGGACCTGCGGCCAGAAGAACACCACCTCAAAGAAGCTGCATCTCGACCAATTCGGTCATCTGCAGACCTTGCTCGATGGGCCCCTGGCATCAGGAGAACTCCATCGTTGAAGGCTATGAGTTGGGAAGAACATGTTCTTCTTGGCCACGTTCCAGCAAGAAAGAACTGCTGGTCTGTCAAAGAAACCAGCAAGGATCACCACACAGGCGGGTCAAGAAGCCACAAGCTGGAGCGCTGTCCCTCAACACGGCCGGTTTCCTGGTTCCTGCCTATGACAAGGGTGGTCACATGGCTCGTTATTTTCTTGTGGGATCGTTGACTTGGGCCATCCCGAAAGAAAGAACAGTGGAAGTCCAAGAGCTACAAGAAGAAGATGATGAAGATAAAGAAGGCTGGGTGGCTATTAAACCACCAGCAGAAGAAGACGAAGCGGACCAAGACCAAGCAGTAGAAGATGAAGAAACAGAAGGGGAAGAGGAACTCCAAGAAGATGAAAATGAAAGCCAAGAAGAAAAGGAGCATGACCTCCCTCGGCACGGCCTCACGGATGCCGAAGAAGAAGCTGGTGAAGACCTGGTACTACACACACCTCCAGGTCCAGGGGAATTTGAAGATTTGGCCGATGAACTGCAGGCCTATGAAGTCAAGGTCTTTCGAATGGCCATCCCAATGCATTCGAAAAAGGCCAAAGAAGTGACACGCGCCACCATGGAGCTTATTTTGAAGCTTCGAATGGATGGCTACTCCGTGAACAAGATTCACGTGGATCAGGGCCACGAATTTGCCGGCCACATCATGGACTGGACACGAAGAAGAGGCATTGTTGTCACAAAGACCGCTGGTGATGAGCCTCAGTCCAATGGCAGAGCTGAACTGTCAGTCAAAGTGGTGAAGAATATGGTAAGGAAGGCTCTCACACAAGCAGAAGAAGGCGCAAAGTGGTGGCCGTGGGCATTGAGGCACTCTTATGAAGTCCTTCGATGCCGCCGGATCCACGAACCACCATCATTTTCGCCCTTCATGACTGAAGTTTTGGTGAGAAGAAGGAGGTGGAAAAAAGAAGATTTCTCTCCGTCTATGGAGAAGGTGAGGTACTTAGCTCCTTCGCCTGAAAACCATGGCCACTGGGTTGTGCCTGAAGGAGGTTCACCTAGATTGACGAGGTGCATCATCCAGAAGATCGCCTCAAAGCCAGAAGAAAGCCACTGGATTGCTTTGGAGAAGGAACTTCTTGATGGGCTTTCACTTCGAAGGCGACTTCGGGAGAAAACCACAGTGAAGAAGATTCAAGGTAGAAAAGAAGATGAAGAGAAAAAGACACAGGCCAGAAACCAGCTGAAGCTGTTATTGGCCGAAGAAGCCAAAAAGGTCTATGGTGACCACCCTCGAATGGCCATGGAAACGATGAAGATCATCGAAAGGTTGAAGAAGATGATCGAAAGGGACACGGAGGAAGAAGAAGAGATTTTACAGACAAAGATCGTGTCTCCAAAAGAGGTCCTGGCAGAGTGGGAGAAGTGGATCCCCTCCGCTTCAAGCGAATTTGACTCCCTGACCATCGAAAAGTCTGCCCTCAAACCCGTTGAAGAAGATATGGTGAAACAGCTGGTGAAAGAAGCTGAAAAAGGGGGCTGAAAGTTGAAGTGATACCATCTAAGGTCGTGTACACGAAGAAGCCGGGCCTAAAGGGTAGGAAGAGAAAGGTAAGATGGGTGGTTTGTGGCAACTTCGAATCGAAGTCTGCTGAAGAAGAAACCTACTCCTCAGGTGCTGATGCCACCGCCTTTCGGCTGCTTTGTTGGGTGGCCACGCAGCACCAATGGCAGGGCTATGTGGTGGGTGTCAAAACAGCTTTTTTGAATGCCAACATGAACGACACCACTGACACCCAGTGGCTGCTTGTCGCTCCACCATCGCTGTTTGTCGAGAAGGGATTGCTGCCAAAAGGTGTCATGTACATCCCTGAGAAGGCCATCTATGGCCTCCGACGCTCTCGAAGGCTTTGGAGCGAACACTGGGACCGCATCCTTGAGTCCTTGGAGGTGAAGCTAGAAGATCACAAGGATCCTACTCCAACCCTTGTCGTCAGAGCCGAATCTGTGGACGATGCGGTTCGAGGGGGAGGAAAAAGTTGAGAGGATTGTTGATGACCTACGTGGATGATCTGATCATCGTGGGAGAAGAGCTAGCCGCAGCTGCCACACTGTCCTCCATTCGGGCTACATGGAACACCTCGGAGTGGCCTCAATCGGAGAAGAAAGTGTGAAGTTTTTGGGAATGGAAGCGATGAAAAAGAAAGGAAAGAAGGGTTATGACGAGTGGCACATTTCCCAAAGATCGTATTTGACCGACCTCCTCGGTGAAGAGCGTGGGCTGAAGTCCAAGAAGATCCCAATCACCAAGGATCAAGCAGTGATGCCTAAGGACACCGGCGTCGCACCACCAGAAGCCATCAGAGAAGCTCAAAAGACGGTCGGGGAACTCCTCTGGGTCGTTACTCGCACCCGTCCCGATCTCATGTACTGCGTGTGCTCTGCGCCACCTCAGCGATCAAAGAAGCTGGAGCACAAAGCAAGAGCTATCTCTGGAACACCAGGGATCAAGGGCTCTGCTATAAGAAAGAAAATGAAGAAGAATGGATGATCCATGCCTACACTGACGATGAATCTCATGGCTGCGCGATCATCGCAGCCGGAAAAAGCCCTCTGTTCTGGCGTGCAGGAAAACAGAACGCGGTCTCGCTGTCAACGGCTGAGCTCAACGAAGTGATTGAGGGCATGACAGCTGGTGAGTCAGTGGGCGTGATGATGGAAGAAATTCTGGGCCCGTTGCCTCACATGGCCTGGACAGACAGTCAAAGTGGCCTCGCTATCATCGCGAGCGAGGGCGGTTCATGGAGAAGCAGGCATTTGCGCACCAAGCAGCAGCATTTGCCAGACAGGCAGTCAATGATGGAGCCTGGGCCATAGGCCACATACCAGGAGAAGCTATGGTTGCAGATATCGGCACAAAGGCCTTACCTTCTGCACGCTTGAAAAGAAGGAAGAAAAGAAGCCTGAAGAGAAGGAAAAAAGAAAGAGGCTGAAGATGATGGTTTAAAGCTTCAGAAGGCAGCTATGGTTTTGAAGTTGATCACCATCGCTGCCACCATCTCAGCCGCCAAGGGCCAAGGAGATGGGGATCACAGCTCCGATGAAGGAGTGAGCTTTGGTTGGATCGTGACCTTCTACACCGCTCTGGTGATGATTGGCACACTGGTCGGCTGGTATCTCCTGACGGAGGGAGTAAGTCTGGTATCAGACCGAAGTACTCCCAGGACGCCAGTTCGACGAGCTCGAAAGAGTGCCAACAAGATGAAGGAAGAAAGTGAAAAAGAAGAAGAATGTGATGGTCTGGGGAACGCCCATCATTCCACCGCAGAATTGGGCCCAAGTACCAGACCTGAGCACAGTCTTCACTTCCAGCCAGAGCACTCGAAGTGATCCAGCCGTTCAAGGGCAGCAGAAAGAAGAAGAAAAGAAGAGGAGGGAAGATGAAAGGGATCATGGAACATCATCAAGTTCCACTCAAGTTCCCAGTACGGCTGAAGCTACCCGACCAGTCCAAGCAGGAGGGAATCGAAGTAGACCTCCGCATCCATCGCAAGAAGCACAGGATGACATCGTCATTTTGACGACCAGGTATGGAAAAGTTCACCACAAGTCCCACGAGTGTGACTACATTCGCGCACCACACACCGGAGTTGTAAGGCGTTCAAGGCTTTGTGCTGCATGTGGGTCTCAAAGACCGACGGGGACCTTCGTGGCATGGTGCAACTCCTGGGGATCAGAAGCTCACACAAATCGAGCATGCCCAGGACTCTCCGCTGCCCCGTTTCGATACACCCCATGCTCGCAGTGCAACCAGGGGTAGCAGAAGAAAGAAAGAAGCAGCTTGAGCTGGAAAGAGAGCTTCAGTGCTCTCATTTTGTTGGAAAGAAGTTGGTCATGCCTGACGGTTGACCAAAGGGGGAGTGCAAGAGTCGCATTCCTCACGTTTGACCGAGCTTTGTTCGTGAACTTGAAGCTACTTTTGATCAAGCGGCCCCCACGCGGAAAAAGTTTTCGTGCGCTGCTATCAGTGCGCTTAGCGGAGGTGCACTGTTTGCATGGGTTGCTGAGAAGAGAAACGAAACCTGGTCACAACAAGAACAAACAATATATTACGAAAGCCAGCCGATAGGCTAGGCTTGAGCTTTTAGACCGGGGTGTGGGGGGGGTAGGAGGCGAAAAGGCACCATTTGAGAGGGTGAGCCCGGAGCTTGCCTGGGGAGAGCGCTCCAGAGCGAGGGTCAGAAAAGCAGTGAAAATGGGGTCTGGTGATGCGAGTGATGCAATGGACGCCGAGTAGTGCATCATTAGCGTCACGAAGGGCTGTGGAGGCTATTTGGACAATGGGCATTGAGCACTGGAGTAGAGACAGGCACCCATGTACAGAGCAACCACCCTAGTCTCTACTATACTTGAGAAGTCTGGTTGGATGTATTGGGGCCAGCATGGTAGTTGGTTGGCAGCGACGAGTGCCTATCAGAAAAGGGGCCCGTGTAGATAGCAACTTGGTGGGGTGAAGA